ACCCACAGACACACACACTGTGCTTATGTATGCCTGCAGGCACACAGTTGGAATTCAGGAGATGCTCCTCAGGAGAAAAATGGGCAAAACTGACTGACTCTCAGCAGGGAAGAGCCTGCCTCCTGCATATTCATGGAGATGGCCTCCTCTTTAGAGCCCAGCTTGTGTGTTGTCTCCCTCTTCTGATGAGGAACTGGACTCACTGTCTCCTGAACTCTCACTCTCACTCTCCCTCTCCCTCTCACTCTCACTCTCACTCTCACTCTCACTCTCACTCTCGCTCTCGCTCTCAGTGTTGGACTCTGAAGAGTCACTGCTTGTTAGCTTTTCCACATCTTCCTTTTTTGCTGGTACTGAGAAGGATTGTAATGGATGAGTCACTGATGAATCTGTTCCTGCAACTTCTAACTTCATCTCTCCAGGTCTTTCTTGCAAGCTCCTCCCTGGTGGGGACTGCGAAGGTAATCTAATTTGGGGGCTGGGGCCTCCCTTCATGCTCATCTTGAGGCACTTGCCATAGGTTCTCTTTCTGTATGCTGTATATTCCGTGGGGGACAGGGTGTTGAGCCAGCGATCCAGGTCCACCCTATATTGTTTCACCATATGCTCAGCCTGTTCCTGAAAATGATCTTTCAGGCTCTTTGGGGTTTGGTGCCACATTCTGCTTATCTCCACCATACGACCTTTTGGGTTCAGATGTTGTAATTGCTTACTTGACCAAATATCTTCATGAAACTTGTGATATCCATTCATGGGAGGCTTCTTGGGCTCTCTGTGGAGATTTGTCTCTTTGGAAAAGCCATACGTTTCTTTAGAGGACTTCATGTTTTTTAAATTTCCAGGAGAATGCTTCCTGGCTTCCTCCTGGTGTCTCTTCTGGACAACGGGTCTTTTAGAATTCTTTTGGAATATTAGATGAGGATGGTCTCTTTTGAATTGAGCCATTTGTCTTTTAAATTCTTCTTTTTCCTTCTCGAAATCTTGGGCATATTTCTCTTTCATCTCCTCTGGAAGCTCTCTGTATTGCTTGGCTAGTAACTTAGTTAACCCTGCCTTACTCAGCTTGGGGTTCTTTAGCATGTACTCTCTGTAGTTCTCCTTGTAGAAGCGGAAATAAGCAGTTAAAGGCTTTTTGGGGAAGTCTGGGAG